GCTACAAAAATTCGTATCGCTTTTTTCGAAATTCTTTTTCATTATTGAGAAAATTCAGTTTTTCTAAATATGCGACGAAAAAGTCGGAATTCTGCTCATAATTCTCGATTTCTCAATCAAAGGTCAATGTCTATGTAATAAAAATATCCTATTCAGAATCAAGATCCGACTTTTTCGTCGCATATTTAGAAAAACTGAATTTTCTCAATAATGAAAAAGAATTTCGAAAAAAGCGATACGAATTTTTGTAGCGCGTGAAACGGCAATTCGAATGATATAATAATGAAGGGTCTATGTATTAACCAAAAAAACTAGATAGGTTTGCAAAATTACATTGCACCAATGGAGCACCATCGATGGCTGATTTTGTAGTTTCGATACGATGTGCGTGCGAATCTTCTAGACCACATGGCTAAAAATCCAAATGTCACATTGGTAAGCGCAAAAGGTTGAACGGAGAGGAGAAAAATGCGTTTTTTCAAAAGTCATGTTTTTTTCGAATTTTGACACCTTCACAATATTTTGCATTTTTCTTCTTGAAAACTCGATCAAAACGAAAAAAGAAGGTTTGTGATCAAGTGGTATTCTTTATAAGCTGAACAGTATGGTCCCACATTCTATAACCCAACTGGAATGTATTTGGCCTGATCGTTATATAAAGTGCTAAAATGAACAGTAAAGAATACGGTTAATACCAAAACCGGCCTTCGACATAAGAAATATGTATATTCTTGAAAATGCACTTACTTTTGCGCCTTACTTTTGAATTATATTCGATCTTATGCTCGTTCGTATTGATGTAACACTTTGATATGATAAAACGTTATTCTTTCAACTGAACAAGATAAAATGTAGTTATCTGATTGTTATTAAAGTGCGACTGATATGGTCTTTAAACGCTTAATCTGTAAATAATTAGATCGAGTTGATCTGTAAGTAAAAGGACCAAGAAAAGCCAGACGGCGTAACAGATCAATTTAAAAACTTAATCCTGTGCCAGAAGTGGTCAGAAATCTAATCGAGTAATGAATAACTCTGTTATTTTGAAACTATTTATGCGCTCTCACACAAAGGATTAACTTTTTAAATTGATCTGTTGCAGCGTCTGGCTTTTTTCGGTCTTTTCGGAATGTACATATCCTCTAGGAATGTCTACATTCCCTGTAACATATATATATCTATTTTTATGGTGCTCTCGAGTGATATAAGAAAACCTTATGCAGTAGAAAGATCAAATATGATATTTCTTTCAGAAAAATCAAATGATTTATGGTATTATAAAGGATTATACTCTTCAAATTTTTGGAATAAAATGAATAAATTAGTGTTTTTTTACCCAGTCTCGCAACTAGAGCTCGAGCTCAGGTTAAGCTTTTAGTATATTCGATCTTTTAAAAATGAGCCAAGAATAAACTTTGTCACGCCCACTTCTCTGTCAACAGTTCATCCGATCCGATGTGGTTCCTTCACACTTCATGTTCATATATTGTGTAGAGGTGCTCTTTCAGCAGACAAAAATTTAACTGATCTGTAGTTGTTGGGATAATTTGGAAACAGTCGATTTTTTCTATCTTATGATTGATACGCGCACAATAGATAATTAATTGAAGGTAGACTGAGAAGCATCAAACAGGAGCTTGTAAAATTCATAACATAATGATGCCATCGAAGCATCGATGTCAACAAAATCTTATTATAATGTTAGATTCAACTGCGTTCGTCGTATTGAGAAAGTTTACTGACAATCAATACCATCAGTATCATATGCCGACAAAAAAACCAAAAAAACTTGTGTAACATATGCATACATTCTGATCTATTACTATTATTCTAGCTGTTACTCACTGCTCATTTTGCGCTTTCGTTCTTCTTTCTATCATTTCCATCACCTAATGGATTAATTACTTTAAAGTTTTCTTGTTCAGTTTATACATTTCCCAAAAATACAGTTTGATCAGTTAAACTTAAACTATACTACATCAAATCGCGAGACAGAGACCGATCTACCAAGATCTTGTTTAAACAACATCACGAGTCAGAGAGTAAATAATCAAATTTTGCGTAGAATCTGAATTTCTTAAAGACTAACAGTTCAGAAACGTTTATTTGTGTAAGTAATCACTATTTTTCCCACCGAGGAGGATTACTCCAACTAAATTGCAGTATTGAGCGAGGATCAGATTCGATGTAAAATTTAATCCTATACATTTTAAATTCGTTAAGGTGTCCGTCATATGAAAAAAAAGCTTCCATGTAAAACAGAAATGTTATATTCAAAGAGCAACGATATTTTGCCTATAAGTAGATCAATCGAGCGATTTAATCAATAAATCAAAAGATTCTAGATTTACTTGTTTTCTTCTGCGAACTTGATAAAACAGTCGACACTCATCATATTTTTTTTCATTTGAATAACGAGGTTCAAAAATTATTGCATTTATACTAACCATCACTTTTGATTCCTTCTAATATAACATGTTTTCCATTCAAATTCTGCCGTTCATGTGGTTCGATGAATTTAACTAGATCAACTGCGACATTTAATTTTGGTGGAATATAAGATAAATCAATCGTTTTGTTAATTTTTACATTTCGATTTTCAGCAGTAAATGTACATGTATAACGATCAAATGTAGATCGTTTATCAAATGTAATTGATAAATTCTGTCCATAATATACAAAATTTGAATCAAAATCACGTGTCCATACAAAGTTGTGTTCGTTTAACTCATACTTATCTACAGAAAAATTACTAAACAAAATGTCAGCAATACATATACTTATAAATTTCTTTTAGCACTACTTACCATCAAGTGGAATACATCGTAATGAAATTATTTTTGAAAATAATTGATAATTTTCTTTTGTTGATAATGGTTTAGAAGCTTTTGGATGTAACCATTCGATTTCTATTGACGGAAATAATGGTGTCTTATTTGTTGTAGACGTTATGATTTTACGATATGTCGATAAAATTCTTTTATTTATTCGAACAATGGCTTTTCGAGTTTGCCTCCATGTTGAACATTCATAAACACCTACATTTTTTTCTGCAAATTTTTCAATAACAATTAAATGTGTACCAATACGCTTTACATTATTTGGCATTTGAGCTGAATTATTAAACTTTAATTCTCCAATATATAAATCTAAAAAATATCAACGAAATGGTTATTATTCCATTGATTTATACAAACGTTCAATTACTTGTCAAACACGCTATCGTTACATAATTAGTGCCAATATAGATCAAATTTAGATCGGGATACGTTTTAATCGTAACAAATGATTCATGATCACCAAGAATTTTTGATGGTGGTGGTAATAAAACTGATGCTGTGTATATTTCATGAGAAGAAAGTATTGATACTTTACAAGTCCATGTACCAATGTCTTGTTTTTTAAATGGTTTTAAACTTAGCAGAGTTTGTGTTGAAAATACATTTCTTTCATTTGGTGCATACCATTTATATTTGGATCGAGTGTTGTCTAAATAAAGGAGTATAAGCGTGCTTCATGCACTAAAAATATTCTCGTCCGTCTAAAACGATGTCGAACACTTTAAAATTTCATTAAAAATTTATGATACAAACCAACTGTCAGATTAAAATGAATTTCTTTTCAATTTAGCGTTAGTCAATAACAGCAGCTGTGTATATGAAATACGCTCAAGTTTCTAGTCATTTTCAATATTTCAAATACGGTGTTGACATCCAGTATATTTGTATGGTGCTATTCTACAAAGCTGCCTATTTTGCTTTATACCAATAAAAAAATGAGCTAGATTTGCTAAAGCTTATAAGCTTAAGTGAATCGGATAATGGAAATTAACTGAAGCAAATAGGACACTAACAGAAATATTTGTTTTGGGGGAAAGAGGTCACTCCAAAGCCTTGTTCGTTTTTTATGATGTTCTTGATTATTTATACATTCATAAGAAAAGTTTCCACTTATTCTTCTAATTTATCAATAAAACATGGGTTATTTTTATGCTAAACGCGAATCTTGTGTCCGTTTCAGTTCGTGTTGCTGTCCTTTGTGAATCCCAGGAGATAGAACCATCAAAGTTCACCTTGAACTTTTAAGTAAATAAATCCTGGTATGATTAAATTATAGAGAGCATTGAGTTACTTGTATGCAAAATATCACAGATGCAAAGAACAAGTTTTTGTAGTACAATACAAATTTTACTGTACGCTGGAATGCTAAAGTATTTCCTTTGAAATAGCGAGTAAAATTTTTATATTTGAAAGAAAATCTGTGATTTTTTGCACATATGCCCTAGAATTTAGTCATATCAGAATTTATCTGCTTGAACGTTGAGGATTCGATCTCCCAGAACCATACGAAAAAGTAATATAGACTGGAAAGAATATCAAATTCTTATCAGAAACATGCAAAGGAACATCAGAAAAACTATGTTTTATCGAAGAAACGCTTGGAGAAAATTTTCCACAATAGTAGTAAAAATATGAAAATTTTCTTTCATCTTCCCCACAAACGATAATATCTGTTTTATGTGAGATGATATGTTAAGCATATAATGGTGTTATGCATGCGTGCGTGGATGTATGAATTACGAAATGAATGGATCAAGTAAAAACAAATATTATTATTTCTTAAATACTCCATACGCGGTCGATGACAATAATTGGTTATGCTGTTCATTGGTGAATTACAAATTAAAAGTCAGCATCATCAGTGGCCATCATATGTTTGTTTCTGGATGTTGGGTGTCTTGTATTACTTAAGTATTTAGCGCTTAACATAGATCCTAAAACTGCATGTGATAGAAAAGAAAGAGAGTAGTCAACAGAGAGCATATGACATTACAAAAAACCCTTAATTTCACCTAGAAAAAAAAGATAACAACGTTTTCTGAGCCCATCAAGTGAAGATGAATAAATGTGTAAGTGTGATGATGATCATAGTGAAAAATTACGTATGTCTATGTAAAAGGTGATAAATAAGACAAATAATTGTACTATACCCGATATACACTTGAGTTGTAAATTTCGTCCAATATCAATATCTTCTATTGGTGTCAAAATTTCGATGCGTACATTGGGTGGAGATATTTGTTTTTCGGTCATTGTTGTTTTATCAATGGTATAATTCACACTCGATTGTCCAAAATTGTTTGATGCTTGACATGTATAAGTTCCATAATCATTTTCATCAATATTTGGAATAAGTAAAGTTTCACTACTACTATTTGACATATAGATCCATTTATCTAATGATCTTTGTTGACCATCTAAATTAATCTTCATCCATCTAACTGTTTCTCCTTCAACTATAAACAAAGACAATGTATGAAAGTGATGAAAAATAAAATTAGATATTAGTATGTACCTTTTGTACAAATTAACTTCAAATCATCACCGAGACGAACTCCCGTATTAGGATCTGTTGATAAAGTTAAGTTGGGTTTTTTTTTCGGATTATCCACAATAATGTTTCGTGTATCTATTTGAATTGTTCGCGTTGTTTGAGGAGATTTAATACGACAAATGTAGACACCATGATGTTCAAATGTGAACGATTTAAATTCTAAACGTGCACCTTTTTGTTGAACCTTTACTGATACTATGTCGTTTAGTTTTTTCCATTCAATTTTTCCAATAGGTGTATCTATAACAACAAAAAATGAATCTGTCATTGAATAAACATATACTTGGGTAAAACATACCTTTTCCAATTCTGCAAATCATTACAATATTCTCACCCAATTGTTTTTTACCACGTACATCGATAAATGATGTATTAAATCTTAGACGTGGTCTTTGACTTTTTCCATATTTCTCATTGCGTATAGCTGAAAAAGTTTTTGCATCAAATTTCAATATTTTCTGTATTCGATTACCATTTGATAATTGAGCTTCACATTGATAACTACCAAAATGTTTAGTGGAAAAATTTCGAAAACTCAAACGTGATCGATCGGTATAGACATTGTTTGGTAGTGAAAGATATTTTTGATCTAGTTCAGATACTAATGACCAAGATAAAGATGTATCATTCGCATTTTGATCTGAAAATATAATTTTTATAAACATACAATATTTAATATTAGACAAAATTAAGTTTATAAAAATAATTTTTGACAAAAGACATTTTGGCACATACCTAAATAACAGTTGACTATTACATTTCCACCTAATTTTAATTCTCGTAATGGTGATTGAAATTCAAAATGTATTTTTGATACACCATCGTTTTGTGTTACATCAGGCATTGTTCCATTTTGCTCATTTGTTATTCTCATATGATCATCTTGAGCAATTAATTCAAATGATTTATACGATGTACCATGTGGATTTGATCCCATACATGTATATACACCAAGATCATATTTATTTAATCTTTGAATAAGTAAATTCCCATCTGTAACCGAAGTATCGTAGGAAAATTTTGCATCAGAACCACGATTCCATGTCACTGTTGTAGTTTTATCTATTTAGATGAATACGAGTGTAAATATTTATGGAAAATGTAGATGTAAATAACTACCTGGTGTTATACATTTAACATGAACTGTACCATCAACACGATAACTATTATTTGGATTAAATATTAATTGAATAACTGGAGCATGAATATCTGAATCGCTACTTGTTGGTAACAATTGTTTATTGAAATCAAGTCGAGTAAGATCGAGTGTTTTAGTTGTGCTTCCATGTACATTTCTTCCTTTACATTGATATACACCCAAATCTTTTTCACTAAACGGATCAATAATAAGAAAGCGATCATTGAATACAACACTTTTTGACGGTAAACTATTTGTTTTGTTCCAATTTATTTTTGCTGCTTGATCTAGAAACAAACAATAATGAGTTTTAAAATAACGTTGATATTTTTAACTTACCTGATGAAATGCATTCAACAATGATTCGTCCTCCATTTTGAAAATCAGCACGAGATGATAAAAATTGAAATGAAAGAGTTGGTTTAACTGCTTTTGAATCAATACCACTAATATCTTCAGGAAGAAAATGAAGTGAACGAGTCAAATTTCCTACTGATGTTTGTACTTGACAAACGTAGGTGCCCAAATTGTGTGATTGAAAACGATTGATACGTAAACGAGAGCCTGTCACTTCAACATTATTTGACATTTTATTTAATTCGTGTGACCATTTTATGGGTATTGTATTATCGGTTCCTAAAAAGACAGTGTGTCGTTAATGTGTATATGAATAAAAGTGAATCAATATACCAGATACGACGCATTCAACATCAATAATTCCTCCTACTCGTAACTGTGACTGAGGTGTTAAAAAGGTAATATTTATATTTGGACTACCAGGAGATACACTCATTGCTGAAAGGAGACAACAGATAAAATGTATTTAATAATATTTTTGTTTCCAGCTTACGTGTATCTCCATAGAACACTTTCACTGTTTTACCATCTGGCTCGATATTTATTGACAATCGTTTTTCGATACTATATCGTTGATTTCTTGCACGACAGACATAAGTACCCGAATCATCACTCGTATATTTTTGAAATCGTAAGTTGGCTTGATGTGGACGAGTAAAGCGAGAAAATTGTTTGCCATTAACACGAGACCAACTAATACTGGCAGTAGGATCTTAATAAAGATATATAATAATACAGCATGAACTTTTAGACCAAATATTTTTGTGTTACCCGATGATCGACATCCAATTTTGATTGTTTTACCAACATTAAATACTGAACCCGGAAGTGGATGTAGTTGAACTAACAGAGGTCGGACTACTACAAACAAGAAATGAAATACTAAGAAAGATCAAATTATATTCGCTTATCCTGACCATTTGGTGTCGCTGTTTCAAGTATTCTTGCATTTTCTTCAATAGTATTTGACGTCGTAAATTGTGTTGTTTGAACACCTTCATCATTATTACTCTTATGAATGTGAACAACTTTTGACCAATGTCGATTATCTTTATCTCTTACATTGCAAATGTACTTGTTTCCAATATGATGTGGCTCAAGGATTAATATTAATGTATTTCCATGTTGCTCAAATCCTTTTGTGCTCCCACCTTCATCTGTCCACCATATCGAATTTGCGTTGGGTAAAATGCAATGTAATTGAAGATGTGTACCATAACGAATTATACCTTTTGGTTGAATATCGATTATTATTGGACTACTTGATGTAGGAGTGATTTGCACAAACGGACTCGGCTGAATGTTGATCATTAGTTCTTTTTCTAATTTTCCTTGCTCTGTGAGTGCTATACACGTATAATAGCCACTATTTTCAACACTAGCATTTTGAATGTTCATTAGGGCGTCTCTTGTATTAATATTACTAAGCAGATTTTCACCATTACGACTCCAAAGATATTGTAATACTCTGGTACCATCAACTCGACAATATATTTCAATATTAGAGCCAGATGTTATTTGTACATTCGGAGGATAAATTTTGATAGTTGGTTGGTAAGCAGTCGGGATATGAACTGGTAGAACTAGAGAGAAAAGTTTGTCTCATTCACTGACAGTTTCATGTTTCCCTCTTATACCTTCCAATGTAAAACTTTCATGTGCTGTGCCATAGATATTTGTACCAGCACAAGAGTAAACGCCACGATGACTCTGATCAAACATGACCATTTGCGGAAATAAACGAAGTCCCTCGTTGTTGTTTAACCATGAGTTTTGAGAATATTCATACGACTAGAATAAATTGGACTATATACGAAAACTTGTAATAAGGCTGCTTATTGCTACACTCACACTATTGTGCTTTCGCCAACTTAAACGAGGTAGAGGATCTCCGTCTCCTAGACAAATAACTGTGGAAACAGATCCGACTTGAACGTTTAACACTTGATTTGAAACAGGTAAAATACGAACAGTTGGTAATGCGCCTAAATTTGTCGACTTGAATTGAACATACACTTTGTTTTTGTTGAGAAGTGCTTACCTTGGACTTTGACGATAGCTTGCGCTGTACTTTCACCGCCTCTATTACTAGCACGACACGTGTACGTTCCAACATCGGCTTTTGTAACTGAACGAAGTTCTAACGTAACACCATTGCTTTGCAATAATGGACGTCCATCTTCTCTATAGTTTTAGAAAGAATTATCATATTATCGAAAGATTGCAGAAAAATTTGAGAGAAAGTATACCGTTCCCAAATTATTCTTGTCGATGAATCGATATTTCGAACTGAACACGTGAGACGAGTATATTCTCCAAATTTGAGTATTACATTGTTCGACGGATAGATAGATATTTGAGGCGCAACAAATCCTAAACAGAATTATACAGTCCCTATTTAAACTGCAGACTTCTTGTTTTGGATGGATATGCTGAACGACATGAAAAGATTCTCGTATCTTTGTCAATTTAACTCTCTCCTCTTTTGTATGATGTACGTTAATCTGAAATGTTTAACGAATGAAGGACCCAAGTTGGAAATCGTTCTTTCCATGAAACTAGGCTGACCATACGTAATTAATGACGGTGATTTCAAATATGAACATCGGAGTTGCCCTTAGGCTTTTGTTGACCGGTTCTCTGAACTGAATGTTCAGAAAACCAGGAAATAAATCCAGACAATTTTTCTCGATCGGCATTTTTGTAGAGGACACAAAAGTCTTGATGTGAAATAAGTTCCAATTTTTCAAAATATCGTTGAATGGTGCGATGATTTTGCAAAGCGTCCTACTGCAACATTTTTCCATCAAAACCAGCGTAGCCACTCTTATGGGGAATTTCCTTCGCTATTGATTTTTGTTTTGAAAAACTAAAAATTATAGAACATCGAGAGTTTTGTGTCCTCTACAAAATGGTCGATTAAGAAAAATAGTCTGGATTTGTGTCCTGGTTTTCTGAATATCCAGTTTTCAGAGAACCGATCAACAAAGGCCCAAGGACATCTCCGATGTTCATATTTGGAATCAGCGTCATCAGTTACATATAGTCTACTTGGTTTCATTGAAAAAACAATTTGTAACTTGCGGCCCTTCCCTGGTAAGCTCAAGTGGATATTTGTTTGCTGAAACTTGTTCAAAACAGGAAGACGTTTGTATGATCGACACTTACATGAGTAGAGAATGATAAAAGTGCTGCTGAAGATATAAGGACTTTATAAACGAAATGTGTTCGGCTTTTATTTATCACATAGGCGATATTCATTTTCGTATATAGTCATTTGTGAGTTGTTAGTTATTGTAAGAATATTCTTCTAAGCACTAGTATTAATTAATGATCACTAGCTCTTTCCACTAGAGAAGGAAACATATTTTCCAAATAGTTATAACATTTTCAAACCTATATTTGTTCAAAAATACATCAATTTTTTTAGAAATAGTCTTTTTGTGATAATTTAGAGAAAGATATAAATCGATCTTCTCACAGAGGAGGTAATAAGTGTTACTTGTGAATATTATATATCCTAACAATGGGTGAGTCGAAAGTCTTGCGCAACTCTTAGTGAAGATTTTTCAAGGGATTTTCCAGTACTTAATAAGCCAAAATGTAGCCTAAACCCTTTTAACTAGTTTTGTTCTACGCTGTTTAGATTGTGCCATATAAGCCCGACCTGGAACAGGTTGAGAAAAGATAAACCGATCCGGTCGGTCAAAAAGTATAACCGGACCGGACCGGTCGGTAAGCGGACCAGTTGGAATTATAACTCAAACTGGCGAAAATCGGTAAAATACCGGCGAAAACCTGGCGAATTTTTTAAAAAACGATTTTCAGAAAGAATTTCTCCCACAAATGAAGTAGTTTGCGAGCACACGTGAGAGAACCTTCACAATAGCGAGTCTATAATATTTAACCTTAAAACAAGAGATGAAAATAATATCTAGCTTGAGCATCGTCTTATTTATTCTGACTGAAAAAGACGTGAAATTTTAGTTTTTTTGACGAAAAACAGGGTAAAGAGAGCAGATGTTTCAAAACTTTCAACCGGTGAAATACCGGTCTCTACCGGCCCGGTTGACTTTTTCAACCAGTCCTGTCCGGTACCGGACCGGTTCCAGCTCTGATATAAGCTTATATCAGCTGTCTAACAAATCAGAGGATCTTCAATACGATGTACGCCACAATATGCTAATCAATTCAAATTGAGATGCAACTGACTATTTTTCATATAACTTAAAAACAAAAAGAGACTGAGGGCTGCGATTCTCGATATCAAACAAATGAGCGTTTAGAACATTTTTTTGATACCTAAAAGAGATTTAAAAATATTTTTTATAACCAGGGATTTTCAAAAAACTTGTTCATAGCAACTAAATTTTAAATAACAATTTATTGATTGTTTTACATGTGTAAGTAACCTAAAGCGTTCTCTTTAAAATGGGGGTTCAACGTAGTGTTGCTATTTTCTCCTTTAGCTGACACTGATTTTGGGAAGCCTTAGAGCTGCTTTCCATATGCAACATAATATTAATCTAAGTTACATTATATGAAAGAATTAGGATCAAACAAAGGATCTTTGGAGTGCGTGACGAACAACATACCCGTCAAACCATGCTGTAAACGCAAATGATAATTTCAAGATGATACTTTATGTCAAATGCTTAAGTAATCTGATAACAACAAAAGTGACATAACAGACTGTCTAAAAGGTAGAAAAAAAGCCTTTGTTTATATGATGTAATCTCTCTGGGAATCTAAGAGAAAGAAAAATTGAGTAGTGTAATCATAAAACAAGATTTGTCATTCAGTATGCAACTTTTTCCTGCTTCCACGGCGTATAAGCAGTTTTTTTTCATGATAAGATAATTCGGATGATGATGAACAATTTCGTTTAAAATATATTAAGAAACTGATTTGTTTTTCTTATAAAAACAAGAGATTAAAACGCACTCTACTGCATACGCTTCTTTTTTTCCTTGATTTGTTATACAGTTTAGTATGTAATATAAGTAAAACTTTTCATTCAAAGTTGTGCAAGAACTTCCGACTCACTCGTTATGTAATATAGCTAAACAGCTTTCTGCACATTAACTATGCTATGCTAACGTTTTCGCTATTTGTATTTGTTTATTTAGTTATTGGGTGTTACTTTACTTGCCTATATTATGGAGGAGAAGATGAACTATTTGTCAGTTCTGTAACGAGTTAACATTTAATAACAAATTATGCAGAAAGATATCTAATAAAACGTGCATATTTGTATATTGAAAAATTCAAGTAATATTATTCATGCGGTAATAATTAGTTAAATTTAGTTCTACAACACTGTTTATTTTTTTAATTTATTTATATTTTGTGCAATGTAAACACATAACTAAAACAGTGAATATATGTTGCAGAAGAAATTAAAATTAGAATTTTTTCTAATAGAAATTAAAGTCAACATAGTCACAAACACGAAAAAACTCAGTTATCCATCGTTAGAGCTCGAATTTTTGTTTTCTGAAAAGTTTACGATGTTTATGGATACTAGGTGAAGATTATAAACGATGACTGCAAATCCAAAAATTTCTATCCGACTAAAATATAGCCATAAATTCGAATATAGGCCATAAAATGTTTACGGTCTCACACGTTGCCGTTTTTTTGAACTCGCAGTCATTGTTCATAATCTTCATCTAATATTCAGAAACATTGTACACTTTTCGGAAATTTAAAATTCGAGTTCTAAAATGAAATAATTGAGTTTTCGTGTTTGTGACTATGTTGACTCTAATTTTTACTAGAAAAAATTAAAATTTTAATTTCTCCTGCAACATACATAAATTTTATCTATGGTAGTATCTATATCTAATATTTCGATACAAAAGTAAATGAAACCTCATATCGAGCAGAAACATATTAGTTAAAATTGTTTGATTTTTTTTTCCTATAAGAATATATTATGCCGTGTGCAAATCATCTGTTGTACTAAACATGTTTTAGTGATACTATTCATGGTGTCTGAATCTTTTTTTTCTGCTGCTACAGTATCCAACCATGACTACATAAGTTGTTGTTGTTTTTATACTAATTCAACGTTTTTTTGTGTTAGTAAAAAGAGCAAAATTTGAAAACAAAACTGAAACGACAACAAAAACAAATAGACAGTCATATAAAAAAAAAAGAAGAGAAGAAGAAAAACCAAACACCGTAAAATATTTGTTCAAATTTTTCCAGTATAAATAACATATTAAGAAATAATATCAAGACTACTACAACATAAACAAAACTGTGTTACAGTTACAATTAAGAAAAAAACGATTAGCAACAAAATATAAATGAAAGAGTTTTCTATATAATGCAAAAAGAACATACAATGTGAATAGTAGCAGCAGTTAATCGTATTGAAAAAAAAACAAGCGAGAAATTTCTAATCTAAACAACAAAGCGAATTAGTCATATCCCTCACTGTGAAGAAAGTAGTATACTACTTTAACTCTGCGAAGAACGATCACACACCGGACAGTAATACGGCATAATTGATAGACAAAAAACGGTGATACATCTGCTCGATAATGTTGTTTCAGCTCATACAGTAATAAATGATAAAAAATAAGCCATGCTTTGGGAATTTGCATGGGAATATATAATGGAGTTTAAGCAAAAAAAAATGAAATCTTTTTTTATGCCATAAAGAGCGCACTTGAACCAAATGCATAATGTTCTGGAATTATCGACTCAAATCAAACGATATGCATAAATGAAAAGAGGAAGAGAGCATGCATATCGCTGTGAAGTTTAGTAGGCTTTTATTAATTACTCTGTCAAATGAGAAGCAAATGTATCACCTTTTCTTCTACAGACAATGTCTTAGATTTCTAGAAACAGGATTTATCCTTCTGTCTTTAAAAACAAGAATCCTGGTGTTGTTGTTTTTCTGTAAAACGTATAATTTGGTTTACCTGATAAGGAAAAACGATTGTACGAAATGAACAAGAAACAGAGATGTAAATATGAACTGATACTGACAGCTCATTTGTCTGAAAACAAAATATATCAGAAAAAAAAAAAGGCTTTCAAAGTTTGTTAGCATCTATTATTAATAGAGAGCATTGTTATACTACAAAGTGATAAAAAAAATAAATATATATTGACTAGTGATTATAAATCTTTATGCACGATACAGATACTCAATAACTCTTTGAGGAGTGCATATATATATATATATTAGATATGTAAAGGTATGCATCCCATTTATACTCTCTTACTTGGTTGTGTCAAGTTAACCACAACATAATCGTGTCTTGGCTGTGTTTCGCCTGGTATTTCAACCTGGCATTGATAATAACTCATTTCATCACTCAGATCTCTATCAGCCGGTGGAGATATAATTACACTATTATGAACTTGCTATAAAATAACAGAGAGAAAGTGAAATACATATATCATTTAAAATAATTTCATTTTAAATGTCTAGTCTTACTTTTGCATAATTTGGTAATGTTGTATCGTGAGCATATTTTCCCCATGTTAACTTGTAATTATTTGTACCTTTTACTATACAAGTAATATTTCCTGTCTCACCATAAACGATATTCACATCTTTTGGTGATACGGATACTTCAATATTTTGTTGTGATTGTTCTGTATTTTGTTGTGATTGTTCCGTATTTTGTTGTGAATAACCACCGTGATTATAATCTAAACAATAATGAATATGATAAAAAATATTTTTTTATAAGATTATTTTGTATATTACCATGTAGTTGAAGATCATATACTGCTTTTGTTGAAGAACCTGTACGTTCAGAATATACATCACAGATATATCTTCCCGCATCACTTGTTTGAGCATCTTTTATTATCAATAAACCATTTGGATGTACTTCAACATCTGAGAAAAAAAGGAGAAATTATTAGAAAGAGTCTATTGTCAAATGTACCTAAAATAATTTAACATACTGTCTACTAATGGTCTTCCATCTTTAGTGTATGAATATCGTATCGGTTTTTCAATATCAGCATCAACTGAACACTGTAGTCGAATATCTCTTCCTGTTTGATGACTTGATGGGTCAACTGAATCGAAACGAGCCGTTAGTCCATTTCGTTCACTTTCTGGTTGTTGATAATAACGGCCATCGTTCGGATAATCATCTGATAGTGAACAAAATAATAACAATTTTGATTTTATATTTAGTACATTTTTGTAATAAAACAAATGAACTGCTCGCAGAAGCAAAAGCGTTGCATGAAGAAGGACAGAGGTTCTTACTTGCTCTAACTCGAATATATAATGTGTCACTTGGTGATCCGGATATAGATGGGGCTGAACATTTTAATTCTAAACCATCATCTTGTCTAGATACAGCTGATAAGGTAAGAAGTCCGTTACTAAATTGTAATCCCAATGGTTGTTGTACTGGTAAACGATTTTTTGTAGTACTTAAACGTAATAATGATGATGGAGAATTTATATTTGGTGTAAATTGACATAATGCTTCTAATCGTTGACCTTCATTCAATTCAATTTGATGTATATTCCATGAAAGTGATACACGAACTAAATTATTACATCATGGTACCATATCGATCGATTGATGGATGAATTGAATTCAGATAGGAAAGGGGAGGAAGCGTTTAGAATTATAAGCGTTTTAAGCAGCTATAGCATAAAGCAAAACAAACATTGAATAAACTTACCTGGACTACTTTCTAATCCTAATGTGACCATGTCCGATGTGGCAACTTGTCCCGAAATGGATGCAGTACAAATATAAATGCCAAGATCACGATCTTCAACATTACGCAATATTAAACGACCATCTGAACCATTCGGAATTTCTACACCCTGTTTTTGCCAAGTAAATTGAACTTGTTCCTAAAAATATGGTTCATATATTCACGTTTAAAAAAATATTCAAGTTTATAATCTTTTCTCACTTCTCAACATATAAACACTTTTTTTTATGTCTATTTGACACTTAGTTATGATAGGAATGAAAAATGAAATATGCAATGATAACTCACATATGGTTGTGGATTGGCTGTAACTTCGCATATAAGCTGTACATCTTGACCAGGTCTAACGCGTACAGATTTTGGCCCTTGAATTCTGACTTGAAATTGATCTTGAGTTGAAGTACCAGCTAAAATGTTCAAATAACAATATTAGATGTTTTATTCTTAAAATCTTTCTTTTATACAGAAATCACATAATTTTCTTGCAATAAGCTGTGCATTATCCTATGGTTTGTTTTTTATTTACGACAAAGAGACTTCTTCCAAATTTTTTAATAAAAAACATATCGAAAAAGACACAACAACTAAGTAACATTCTCTGTTTATACAGTTTGTACATAATGAATTTTACGTAAGAGAGAATTTGAAGTGATTAAGATTTTTTTTTAAGCAACTTGAAGGGGAATTCTAATCAGAAGACAAAATGTTTTACTCTATCAATTTGAGCAATCAAAATGGAGAAGGTTAGTGGAACATGTGTCTTTACACAAAATAATATATAATCTTAAAAAAAAAAAGCTGAAGCAGCACTGGTCTACATTTTTAAAGCTATACTTGTTTTTGACTACAAGCATATACGCGCAACATAAACACGAACAAAAGAAGAAAGGAGTAACCAACAATAATAATAATTTGAGGTATTCTGGGTAAGGGGAATAATATAAGGTGTACACGAGTGAAATAAACATTGTTCTATGAGGGTGTTAAATGTTCTTTTCAAGAAAAAAAAAAGCAAGAAATTAAAAGAAACTTCATTGTCTGTGGTTTCTTGAATAGCGGTCTAAAATGAAAGAGAAATGAGGAATAATGTCAACAATTGTTATGTGACTTTAAAAATATTTATCTATACTAAAAAAATCGTTTGTCTTGTCAAAGACATCAAACCAAGATTATTAGTTGTCAAATGAATTTTTTATTAAGTTGACTGAGTGAAACGAAAGGAGACTTATTGCTTTTCATCAGAAAAAATATTTCTGTTCGAACACTCAATTTCAATAAATTTAGAAAAATATAGTGAGAGTGTACAAGCAACGTTGCCATTTTGTATGCTAATATGGCAGTATCCGTGCCAAAAAATTGCCCGATCACCGAATGTTTCCAATAGATTTGACGTAAAGATTAAAATTGCTCAACGAATTGACATCTTCCTACGAGATTTATAGAGTATCAATAGTCTCCTATTACCGTTTCACACAGTCAGTTTTTAAGTTTTGGCACAGCATCGTTCGATTCTTCTAGCTTTACTTTTGTATTATGAATGTTTAAAACTATCGATACATACATGGTGAAAATCTGATTTTGACTGGTGCTGTTGCCGATGCATGTTCATTCATTACTTGTATTGTATAATCACCATCTACATCAGCGTCTTCCGCATGTACAACCAATGAATCACGATCAGTGGAGACACCATTTGGTAATTGTCTTGAACCATCTTTAAGCCAAACAACATTATACTTACTCTGAGACTAAAAATATAATAAAAACATTTTTTTTTATTGAAAATAAAAAATTTATCATTCAACCACCTACATTTATAATGGGTACTATATTTATTGTTTCACCCTGACGAACTTCATATGTTTCAGGTTGAATGGATACTTGTGGAGCTGATGGTACACCAGGTAATTGTGCTTTAAAAACGAAAAGAAAAAATATTAATTTAAAAATATATTTGATAATTATAGACATACGTCGTGGTGCAACATTAATGCGAAGATCTTGTTTATCGGTTCCAAAACGATTTGATACTTGAACACGATAATCACCAACTGCATCTTGCGTAGCACGATCTAATATTAAACGATTTGGTTCAACACGAAACATATTTGGAATTTTAACATGTTCTTGACCATTCCATTTTGTCCATTCCACGTTTATTCCATCAGTGGACTATAATAGAGACAGAGAGCTTATTATAAGAAGGATATTATATGACAAACACGTACACACTTTTTAACATTCAATCTGTTTTTCAATAGAATGATATATAATCAGAAAAACTATTAATTAGAAACATTTTCATCCTACGAAAAGATAATTCCCAGTTTCTTCTAATTCTCTCACAAATGTCATTAAATCTTTTTTTCCAGTAAGATTGAATGAAATGCAAATTTCAGCAACTATTACATATATATTTTGCATTGTATTCAAAAGTCTTGATGTCTATTATTCATATTCATAGTTTTAGAAGATGATATGTATATACATATATGCTTGTTAGTTTACAGAGACAAATTTTTTGTTTGAACAAGATTGATCGACGTGATAACTTACTTTGTTTCAATCTTTTTGTGAATGATGATTCATAGATAAAATCAAATGTTTAATAACTTATTGATCAGATGAAATGAACGCACTGCATTTAAAGCACGAGTGACAAGTTAATTCGCATATACATCATCCATTGCTCTTTTATGTATATTGAAGTACAAATAAAAATAATGTACAATTTAGGCAATGCAAACTAAGACTAAAAGAATTGCATTGTATAGATTTATAAATCTCTAGCTAATTTTTTCAAAAAATGGAAAATTTAACTGTCATGAAATGATGAAAATATATAAGAATAAACAGTTGGTGAAATATTCTGAATTGATGTTGTAGATACCTTTCTTAAATTTTATATATTAAAAAGATTTTACTTACATGAACTGTATATTGTACAATCATTCGTTGACCTTCTCTAAGATTAATTACTTTTGGTTGAATTGATACTTTTGGTGGTCCACCTAGCCAATAAGTTGAAATAATTAGTAATACATCTAATGTAGGTATAAGATAATTAAAATAATAAACTTTTCCCGCCATTGTTAATTAATTAGGCTATTTTTTAATAGTATACTCTTTTATTTGTACATCAAAATTCGACTATATATATATAGGCTATTGTGAGAAAGAGAGAGAGAGAGAGAGAGAGAGATTGTGTATAATTATAGATGAGCGTGTGTGTGTATATACTATACTCAATCGTATTTATGATAAATGAACATAAATGAACATACTATACGGTTACATCAAAGATCACTTGTTCTCTCTCTCTCTCATTCTTTTGTTTCATTTTTAAAATCAATTTTTCACATTCAGTTACATATACTCAAACTGTCAAACATTTTTCTCTTTTTGGTGTATGCATATGAAAAACTAAACGTAAGAAATATGATTATTATTATATATATATATAAAAGCGAAAAAGGAGATCTTAAATGAACAGACAGATAGAGCGCGAAAGACCCTTGAAGGCAACATAAATAATTGATACCCTAAATTTAAAGAGAAAATATGTTCTCGGTTTTGTTGTTTTTTCAGAGTGTTCAATTGTTTTTTTTGATGAAAATACAGTTGTCAATTGCAATTGGAAATTATAGTGAATAATATTTATAAGACAACACATACAATTTCTCTAGTTATACGATACATCTATAGCTATACATATATACAGACAACAACTTTACAACCTTGCAATGCTACAAAGCTGGGTAGATTTATCGTAACACTTCTCATCTGACGTCCTGCGTATATAAACAAACTTGTTTTTAATGAAAAATAAAAATCTTTTTCGAATGTATACAAAACTTACCACTGACACTTGGTTGAGAGGAGGCTGGTCGAACTCGTACTTCATATGGAACAATTGTTGGTGCTCCGCCGTTTGAATAAACTTCGCAAAGATACGTTCCAGCTGTGTCAGGCGATGCACGTTGAATATTTAAATTATTTCCGTCTTGATAAACATTTTGTGGTAGTGATGTTTGACCATCTTTTCGCCATCGTACACGAGCCTAATAGATCAGGTTCGGTAAGATAACAATTTTAAAGTTATTTGTTCATTCTTCTTACATTTGGTTGATCGAGTCTGATAACTGCTTGATTACCTTCGACTATGTCTAGTGGACTTTGTGGACTAAATACAGGATGAGCTGCGTGGGGATATGTAGGTCTTGTTTCACCATCTTAAATTGAATAGCAATAAGCTGATAGTATACACAGAGAGAGAGCAATAGGTTCTCACTTGGTTGGTATTCTACGACAATTGGTATACGATCGCTAGTACCGTCGGGTAATCGAACCGTACATATATAATTTCCTGCTACGGATGGATTTGGATTTCTTATAAGTAAATTATCTCCTTCTTGAGTAACTCCATAAGGTAGTGGTCCACCATCCGTGCGACCCCATGCAACCGATAATGGTTGAACATTCTGAAGACAAATAGTACAATCTCATCAGCAATCTTAAATGTAAAAAATAATCTGACATTGTTCTTACCGAAACTTGAAATTGAACCGGTCGATCTCTTCCACTTTCAACTGGAATTCTTAATGGACCTTGTTGAGTACTATAGGGTGCACCATCGACATAGTACGTTGCACCATAGAAGGGTTGAGCTGGTTGAGCTGGTTGAGCCGGTTGGGGAGCATATTGTTGGTCTAAAGTCAACAAAAATATAAAATTACAAATAATAAAAAGATACTATGACTACTACATACATAGTAAACATTGATTTCCCTGCATAACATAGCCAGATTGACAGCGTTCGCATCTATCACCTTCACTATTTCCTTCACATCCCTGTAATAGGAATATAACTGATGACTGACTCGTTTTGATTTCGGAAAACTCTTTTGTTCACTTACAATACATTTGCCTGTTTCACGATCACATCTATCGGTTTTTTCATGACATAATGCTCGACAACTCCAGCATTGACCCAAATAAATGCCAACTAATGGATGAGGACGACCGTAGCCTTCAGAACATTTCTAGATAGACAAAATCTCAAAATACTGAAAGGTAGAGAGAAACAGTGCTTACTTCACATGAAGAACCAGTGTAATTGGCTGGACATGTACACATTTCAACTGTTTGAGCAACATCACCATTTCCCTCACGTGTGGCTGGATTCAACGTAACACCTCGTAATCTACAAAGTAAAATAATCATTTAATATTCAATAAATACTTAGGGGGACGTATTTCACTTACACAGCATTTCGTTGTCCTGCGGCCGTATTGGCTTTAACTAAAAATGTATCCAAATCTGATAACGCCATAAGCATATTTTCTCGGTCGATCAATGAACCGTCTTTCCTTGTAAACGTTCTCTACAAGTATAGAATTATAAAGATATCTTATTAAAAATTTATGTAGCCTTGTATACCTCATTGCACGGTACACTGTAAGTTGAATTTGCATTTGGTTGAAAAGTTGTACCTGGTGGTACTTTATGTACGAGATCAATATTATTTCCTCTCATCCAAATAAATTCATCTCTTATTGGTGCCCCTGTTCCATCATTCGTAAAATAAATATCGATATTTCCATCGTACAATGTCACTAAATCGCCTAGTGCTTCACGTGGTGCACTCCAGTAGAGAGTATCACCTGCTGGACGATTAGTTGATTGTAAATTCAATGCCAGTTCTCGGCCACCGTCTCGGGTTTGAATATTATTTCTACCTTCCCAACGATCAGTGGCAAAGTTTCGGGGAACAACATTCCAATTTTGTAATGGTAATTGATTCTGTTGAGGGTAAATAAATGCTAGATCGTAAAATCTAACTTCTTTACTGACTTACCGCTCGACGTCGCCAATCCGATCCAACACAATCTGTTGATACTCCTGAGCAAAAGCACGGTATGCATCCATTCGGTGTTAGAGGGTTTAAATAGAAATTATTTCTTTTACACTGATCACATCTTTCTCCTTCAGCATTGTATTTACATATACAACGGCCATTTCTTTCCAAGTAGGTACCCCTGGGATCACAACGGGCTAAAATAAATTTCTGAATTGATTAAAGAATCAGATTTCACAATAATACAGCGTTGACCTACCTACAACTGGCGGTGGAGCCGGCTCATATCGTATATAGCAATCTTGCGGTGTACCTCGGCGAGCGTCGCCTTCATAGCCCTGTATACAGTATTCACATCGAGGTCCATATGTATTATCTCGACAATCCTAGATCAATATGTAGAAGATATAGTAAAACATTGCTCTCAGCTTGCTAAAGATCTGCTTACTCGACACGTTCCATCGGGATTACATGTTGTACTGTGTCCATTACAGAAACATGGGACTACCACTGGTCGCTCATCTATCAATTAAAAATGAATATAGCATAAATCCTATTATGAATGCGGATAAAAAGATCTTTCTTACCTATGATAACGTCGACAATGGCATCAGGTATAGCAAATATAAATCCTTGACTATTCAATGCTTCACACGAATATGCACCTCCATCTCCAGAATTCACTCTTTCAACTATTAATGTACCAATGACTCGAGTTGGATCCCTTGGATCAAATTCTTGTGTCATTGTACATCGACCATTATCCGAACTATCACCACACACATGACCCCAATTTAAACGCCAGTTAATGTAAGGTGGAGGAGTTCCACGTGCTGCACATTGAATACGTAGTGTTTGACCGACATTAATGCGGATTTCACGTTGAGGACTTTCAACAACGACAGGTTTAACTGAAAAGAGGAAAGACTCTGTGACTAATCAACAAATTCGCTTGTATTCTGACAGAATAAAGCTTATACCAAGCAGAACACAAAAAACATACCAAAAAAATTACTACTGATAACATCGAGTCGATTGCACAACTTCAATCGTTGTACACAATACAGATATAGAACAGTGAATTTAGTTTTGCAGTTTACTGCAAAGCTAAGTTCATGTGTTCGAATCTCTATTCGTACAAAAATTGATTTTGTGTTTTTCGATAGTTTTAGTTTAGAATACTATAATGGAATATTTTTCCGCTTGTATTCTGACAGAATAAAGCTTCTACCATACATAATCAACAAATCATTGACGCAGAAAAGCATACCACAGCCGACTTCATCTGATCTATCTGGGCAATCGACATAGCCATCACAGTGGAAACTTCTTGGAATACAAACTGGCTGATTCAACGTTCCATTTCTACCATTGCAATGAAATTCACTTTGTTTACAGAATGGTGGCCGAGGTAATAATTCTAAAATAATAATTCTATTAAATAATAATATCAAATAAAAAAAGTAAAAGCGTACCACAATAACGAAGATTTTCATCACTTCCATCATCACAATCTCGATCGCCTAGAAAAGAAATTAGTTTCGTATGACTATTTAACTCAAAAGGATAATCAACTTACCGTCACACATCCAAAATTTTTGTACACATTTTCGTCCACGGCCTGGATTTGTACAGCTTATTTCATTTGGTTGACATGAACCTGAGCCTACAGTAAAAAGGATATATTTATTATTTCTGTAAATAAATAGTACGTTTTTAAGTTCATGCTTTAGCAGTTAGACTCCATAAACATGACAGTGAACGAAATCTTCAAAAAAGTGTCATACACAACGTACGTTGTTTCTTGATTAGTTAAATATATGCACAACAGTAACAATATAGTAAGTAGTGAGTGGAAAAACTTATATTGCATGCTGCCTGCTATTAATGATCTCAAATTACTGACTATGGTTCACTATGATAAAAACATATTTTTGTTAATGTAGTCATTTTAATCTAGTTGTGCTTGCGATCAAAGCTGAAGCAGTTTTCAGTTACAGGATTGTTAAGTTATACTGATCTCGTTCGAGCTGAGAATCAAGTCGAATTGTCACATCCTATTACGTTATCTATTGTATTACTCATTGCAAAGTACAGGGATTACTGAATAACTTTTCAGAAAAAGCGATAGAGATCTGTATTTTCCACCATCTAAAAGCCAAAACTTGATATCTGTGAACATAGCTAATTGACCATGTTCAGTTACGTGACAGTACTTGTTCATAGGAAAATAAAATCGGATAAAGCTCGGTGATCGATCAAATCGGTAGACAAATCTTTGGATATTCAGGATAATTTTTAGTTTTTTTCTATTCCGCTACAGTTATAGGTTACCATTCTACTTCTAAAATCTCAAGTAATTGAAACTAATTTTGGGTGATTCATATACTTTATTAAGTGTTTCAGTCAAAACAGTCTAAAATTTATTTCTTAACAAAGTATATTTTCGTCCCGTTTTAGAATCTTTCCTGTGTCATAAGACTGCACGTGCTCGATCAGATATAACAGTACAAGACCAAGTCTTGGCTTTTAGAGGGTAAAAATCACAGATCATTATCGTTTTCTACTTCAGAGTTATTCAAAGAATACTCGTAGATATCATATTGGAAATGAATAACAGTTGACGATAATGTAAGTACTGCAAATAAAAGTTTAGTCAACCCCTGAACCAAGCATAAAATAATTCCGCGTTGGAAAATAGAGATGCCCTACCATCGCCTGAAAATCAGTCAGAGTTTATAAAATTATTTTTCGTTCTATAAACAATTATGAACATTTCAACTCACCTGCTGTTCCACATTGTTCATCAGAATTATCTCCACAATCGTTGACACCATTACAAAGCGCACCTCGTGGAATACATCGGCCATTTCGACAGGTGGCTTCATCTATGCTACAACGTCCCGGTTGAACAGGTGCTGGTGTGACAGGCACGCTTCTACCTGAAAATGATGGATATTTTTCCACTTTAATGAAAATAATGAATCATTATACGGTAACACTTACCGATAACATGTATGGTAACTGAATTTCTCGCCACTTGACCGTCACTACTCGTTGCTTCGACTGAATATATCCCACTGTCATCAGGAATAGCTCTTGGAAGTTCCAATCTTTCGCTATACCCTCGATCAGTTCCTGACTGTGGATTCTACAAATAAGAAACAGAGTATAGGAACAATATTATTTCAAAAGAAATTACGAAACTTACTCTAGCTGGTGCGAATGTCCATCGATAACGTACTGCCTGTTGACTTGGTCTAGCTTGCAGAATTACATGAGTACCCTCTGGTACTTGACCATCATATGTTTGTCCTTGCACAATATCAATTGAAACAGTAAAATCTAAAGAGACAAATTATGTTTTGAAAAAGCATAATAAGAAGATTTTTGAAGAGTGATTCGCTCATTAATCAAACTCAATAAACTGCTCAGCTTTAAAAATTAATTGAAACCAACCTGGTCTTGGTTGTTCCGGCCGTGGTGGCTCTGGTGCAGATGGTCCTACAATTACAAAATATTATGTTAAAACAGATTTTTAAATTGATTTTATTTTATTTACCTCCAAATTGTATGACAGTATTGCCATCTGAATAATCTTTTCCGGGTACCGTACAACGATAATTGCCTAAATATGGCTGAGAGATTGGTCGAATATGTAATACATGTCCTCTAGGAAACAATGGTTGTTCATCGGTTGATAGATGCTAAATAGACAAAATGATAAGTTGTTCGTTGCTTTTTGTCATTGATAGTAGTACTTACTCTTCCGTTAAAATACCATTGAACACTTCCAGCATCGTCAGGACTTGCACCTTCACATTGAATTTCAATATAATCACCGTCGGCCATTACAGGCGTTACGATACGTAAATGACGGCCACCAGGCGCTAATAGAAAATCAATCGAAGAGATATTTAGAAACAAAAAAGGTGTTCCTAACACAAAAAAGTGTTCGGTTGTCAAATCATTTGGCAAACCGAAAATTCTAAAACTATTTCTAATCTTGACGCCTCCATGCATAATGGATATAGAAGAATATATGGCATTTTATATTATTACCTGGTCCTGGATCAACTTCTGGTTGATATGGATAATATGGCCCTGGTCCTGGACCAACTTCTGGTTGATATGGCGCTTGTCCTCCCAACTGTATAGTTAATGGTGCTTGGCCATAATTTCCAGCCGGATCTTGCGCAGAACAAGAATATTTTCCAATTTTACTTGGATCATTCAATGTTATACGAGATGTTAAAACCACTGATGACATTGATGTTTGTTTTTCTCCCGGACCTTCATGATCGAGTACGGCATATCGCTAGATATTAGAAAAAATAATGCAATAAGGTAGATGTATTAAAAATGTGTATATACGTACTCGTTCTGGTTCATCTTGTATCCAATAAAGAGTTGTATCTGGTCCACCACCGTAAACTGTACATGTGATAGTATATGTTTGTCCCATTTGAACTTGAAGTGTTTCAGGACTAACAATAACTCGAAGTTCCGTCCCAGGAACTGCTGGTTTTACTGGTTCTCCACCGTCAGGCTCAGTTGGCTCTATAAAATAAAGAAAGAATATTATATTAGAAAATAAACTCATGAACAAAGATTGTTTCAACATATTTAACAGACACTGCATAACCATCTTTTTCTGGTAGATAGAAGACAGCAAATTTTTATCAGAAGTGTATTATTGTTTATAAGACATACACTAATGATACTAGGGTGAGTATCAAAAAAATTCTAACGTTGGTGTAGTTTGAGAAGATTATATTCATAGTAGATACTTAATCTGATGTACAGAGTAAAAATTTTAGCTAAAGCATAGAAGCAGACTACGAAAAGACGAAGCGAACAATCAAAAATACGTGGTTGTAGTGCTTAGTAAAGTTCTATCACGAATTTTTTTCTTCTAACTTGAACGCGAAATAAATGAAAAAAAAGCACAATTTATTCTAATATTGCAATACATTTTGTCTGTCAAGCAAATAGTAAGTTGGTTGATGTTTCTGTACGTACAATGTGTCTAGTAGTATACTCTCTATATCGACATTTCTGAATATGAAGCAAAGCGAAATTTCATTGATGATTGAATATGTTTCATATTGAAAAACAAAATATCTTAATTGCGTGTGATAATTACAAAAGTATGAGAGATATTTTACACCAACAGACATATCTTTTTACAATTTGTCTTAATATTCCTAAATATAGGGATAAGATTTGAATATTGAATTATTTTATATGACATTGGAATTACTTATTGATTATATTGATGCATAAATAAGATTAAAAACTAACAACAAATTTATAGATATTAATTTATCTCGTTGTACACTCATTACCTTCGTGTACCGTCAATAGTGCATCAGATTTTCTACCGTCTGCAAGTGTAATGAGACATTTATAAACACCAAGATCATCTGTCTTTAATGGATAAAATTCGAGTATACCACTGGTCTCATTCAACTGTAAATGACATACACACACACACGCATTAACAATTTTTTATCAATTGATTCTATCAAATTTTTTTTTACCGTCATTCCATCTTTACGCCATGAGAAACTTTGAATAGATTTTCTTAATTCAGGATCACGTGTACCACATTGAATTTCTAATCCACTATGTACTTTAATTTTTTCAATATACGATGGAATAAAAAGTTCAACAACAAACGTTTCATTTTCATCATAATCGATGCCGTCTAAAGATGAGATATTAGCCATTTGAAATTTGTAGATTTTAGTATTTTTCAACACTAAATCATGCACTTATGACATCATTAGACTAACATTTATTATTTGTGTTTAGATCCATTGATGTCTAATTACGAATTAACATAATGGTTTGAAATGAGCTGGCATCCAAAGCGAGATCCACATAAACGTCACTTGATTTGAGAAAAACTGATCAAACTCTTATATATTGATATTGATGATTAATACATTAAAAATGCATTGTAATTAAAAAATGTTTTAAATCACTATGAATTATATTCTTAAAACTAATTATCTTTTTCTATAGAAAAAGAAATAGTTAAAACAAAAATGTGTATCATAAGGGTTTTTAAGGCCAATGAAGCAAAAGTAATCATCACAACAAACATGTATTTAGAGTGAATAGCGCGTACCACACATTGAATTTGTTTCATCTGATTTATCTTTACAATCATAATTTCTATCACATAATTTCAATCGACTTATACATTCTGTCTCATCATAACATAAAAATTCATCAAACTTACAATTTTTTCTAACTAGAAATCAATCTACTTTAATTTTAAACTGATCATAATTGAAAATTATTTTTTATTTTACTTGCCTGTTGTTTCTGTGTCAACTTCAGTTGTAATGGTGGTTTCTAGAATAAAAAGAAATAAACGTAGATTAAGATATAACATCTTGTAAATAATATCCACACGCAATAATAATATGGACATGCGAGCACAATGCTAAACGCACAAACACAAGCAAGGAAAATACAGGCATAATTTTATCTTCATTATTTATCGAATTCTTTCTCGTTATCAAAGTTGGTTATAAACTAAAATAGTGTTAGTAATCCTAACAACGTTAGTCGAAACCTATATCTCACTTGATTCCTCGTCCACCGCTTTATTATCATCATCATCAACATCATTATCAGCATCATCATCATCATCACCATCACCTTCTCCTTTTTCGGGCTTACGCATATGTGTTGTTGTCGGCATTTTTTTTATAGAAGTTGTTGTAGTACTTGTCGATGTCGTTATTGGCTGTACAGGCTTTGAGTCGTCATCTTTAATAGGATTGTCCTCGTCCTCATCGTAATATTCTACCACTTCAGTTGTTGTTGTTAATAACGTTCTGTGCGTGGTTGTTGTCACTATAGCAATTGCGGGCCCACTTGGTATTATTGCAGTAGTGCCAATTTCTCCATCATCCTCTGAGAGAAGATACATACTGCTGTTGATATCTACTGAAGTCTAGCAAGATGTATGATTTTCGCTCATTATGTACTGGGTTTTATTTTTAAAAAAAACGCTAATTTTTTGGTGAGAAAGAAAATGGCATAAAAGAACAAAATCAATCTGCTCATTCCATGCAATGTTAATAAAATCGATAAATACATTTTTAATTGATGTTTTGTTTATGCATTCTTATGTAGGATTGAAAATCACTCTGTATATGGATGCAATATTTCAATCGTGATTCAAAATAAATAGTAATTCATGCAAATTTATTCAAGAAGTCTGTAATAAGCAAAATGATGCTTACCGTTAGCATCGTCCTCGCTTGTATCTAAATTAATAAAGAAAAAACAGATTAATACAATAATAAAATAGCACAATATTCACCGCAAAACATTTTTATATGAAAAAATCGCACAGCAAAGCATGCAGAAAATTTAGAAGTTCAACTATATGTGATATTCTAGTGTAGTAAGTGATAATTTTATATAGAATAACTTTCAATCATTCATCTCAAGTTAAATATCATTTTGAATAAAGTGATCATATTTTTCGCTCTATGGAATTTCCATGCAATTATGACGATTTGATTAGATAAATGTTTACCATATCATTTCAAAACAACAACAACACGTGCAGTAACACACCATTTTGGAATAGAAACCAACCGATTCATGCATCTTGTTCATTCTACCTATTGTGAAATCTGTTGACGTAAAATCTGTTGAAGTAGTTCCATTATCTGTTGAGTCCATGTCATCTGTCGTATGATGACCATTTCCAGGTTCTGTACTCATGTCAGTTCCAAATTCATCTGTACTGCCTGTTCCAGATGTAACATCTTCAGTTATAGAAGTTAGATCTAATGTTGATGTCTCCAAAGTAGTGCCAGTTCCTGCACTTGTTTCTTCACTGACTTCTAGTGTTGTCGATATTCCTTCACTTGTATCCCCTGTAACTGCATTTTCTGTAGCTGTTGAAACAGCTTCTGCATCACTTGTTGATCCCGTGACAGTCGATTCACCATTAACAGCAGTTTCTCCTGTTGCTTCGGTAGTTACGTCATTTATAGTTGTTACACTTACATCTAGATTGATGGGACTTTTATTATTCAATATCTTTTTTATACCACACAAAGTAGAAATTTCAAGCTTAATATTCATAAAAACACCTCCACAGACCGCGAACAAGTTTTTTTCACATTTCTGGCAAAAATCATACTTTTAATGATTTTCGCTGCGGCTCACTAAGTCCTATCTATTAGATAAAACAAAAAAAATTAGCATCTTACCGGTAGTGTCACTTGTTTCATCGGCTAAAATGGAAAGAAAAAAAAGAACATTAAGACTTATTTATATAAACTAAAAGAAATAGCATCGTTAAAAAGAGTTTCAGAAGTGAGGTAAAACCAAAAAATAACGTTGTGGAAAGAATAGACATATCACTGCAAAACCATGCAATAAAATTTGAAATATACAGAAATATCTTGGAGTTTATACCATAAGTAAGTTTCAGAAATGTTAAAAATATCCTATTTGTTATTTTTCATGCGCTGTCCATAGTATCGTGCTAATACTTCGTGCAATAACATCCATCATCACAGGTATTCTACCTGACTCGGATGCATCTCTTCCAATAAGTGTTATTTGTGGCAGTGTTGTCTGCCCTCCGCCGTCGCTTTCTGTTGTTTCACTATCAAGTTCCTCTTCTTCTCCGTTTGAAGCTTTGACACCTGGTGTCTTACGCGTCGCAACTCGTTCACTTTCTGGTCTATCGGTTAGATCTACTTGAATAGTGGAGCTTGTTAATGAACCATTGTCCGTAGTTGATACGACATCATTGTTGACAGTGGTTGGTGTATCGACTATAATCCCTCCTTCAAGAATTCCTGCTGTTTTATTAGCAGATTCAACTGAAAAAGTGTAATGGTAATATGTGGTCTGTTATGGTGTCGAACGGGCAAAAAAGAAAGAATTAAGGACATACACGCACATATAAAGCAGGAGCTGTATGTGTTTGTAGTCATGCACTCGTTTGCAGTTAGTTCTATATAAGCATTAAGGTGAATTCTACAGTTTGTAGAATAGATATGCAGATTTTCTTGACATCTACAACAATCATCTTTATCTGATCTACTTTTATACATTGGCTTATCATTGAAAAGAAGGTACATTGTGTTGTATGATATTTACATGCCTACGGACTTATAGGACAAAGAAACGTCTGATTGGTTTTTGAAACGGACAAAAGAGAGGATTGAGTAAAAAAACAGTAACTAAAAACTCTCCTTGAGCAAAAATTAAAAAATTTAATTCAACTTACCGTCCTCGTCACCTTGCCTTCTTAACCTCTGCCTAGAGTCATATTTAGCTGATTCACACTAGAATATAAAATTGAATGACAAAAATAAGTGATTAGTAATATCGGAAAAAAAACCCATAATCAATTCTAAAATGATAACTACCTGAGATAATATTAAACATGTTAAAATACACAACCACACAAGGAAACCTGAGATTGTTTTGGCATCCATTGAGGTATAATTAACTAAAAATGAGGAATCTACAACAGAAAAAGTTAGAGAATAACTTTTCAAAAAATTTTAGAATTCACTAAACAATTAAATAAAAAATTCGATAAAATATTCAGAACAATATTTCAATAAAATCATTTTAGACATTGTAGACTTCAGTTATCAGAATTCTTATTGTCTTTTTTCTGGATATCGGAGGACCTGTTGTTCATTCAATCAATATTAATTCACTTTTGACTTAGAGAGGAAAAAAAGAATTAAATCACTGATCTACAGTGCTAGATTCTCAGAATCTAAGTAACATCCTGTCGTTGACAGAGAAGGATTACTAAAATACAATAACATGTCTATTCATATTGATCCTAGATCATTTATGTATTAAAAATAAAAGTTAAATTCTGAGAATTGATTGAAAAAATGACTTATTGTGTATTAACAAACAATGAGCCAACTAATAAGATGACTACATCATATTTTTAAAACTTGACACAAATTAATTAGTTATTAAATCCTTGAGTCCCAATTTAATTTTAATCTTACATTTTCCTGTCTTTTAAAATTCATATTGACCATTAAAAGCGTCATCAGTCATGACCGTAGGTGAACGAAGTAAAGAACTCTTTTCATTTATTATCCCTATCATTTTATGTAATCATTTGATTGATATTGACATTTACATATATGGCAATAAACCAATTTTTATTTGTTTTCCCTCTCAAAAAAGGCCTCGAATTTTCTTTTGTTTTTTTCACTAATATTCCTATTTGTGTATATATGAACAATGTTAGTACCATCACGTTCTGTTAATTAATAGTTCCAACTAGCAATAATAAATTATTTTCTATAAATACATCTGTTTTGATATAAACTAATATAAACACCAACATCAATATCAGGAGCATATTGTAGAATAATTATTCATGTACGGTGTTATAATATATAGAAGCATTTATACAATAATCAATATGTCTGACAGGTGTTTCTATCAATAGTTAATATCGTATTAGAAATTAACACTTATGGATAACGACGATAGTGATACGAAAAAATGTTCATATTATATTGGATATAATGTAATCGATAAACTAACGTTGTTCAATAATATAATGCTAAAGAATTTTGTGTAATAAACTTAAAATTTCAACTATTAGTCATGTCAATTGATCACAATAGATAATTTTGTAGAAATGTACAAACAGTATAATGAAAAAAATGTGATAGTCTATCACATTCTTACTTAAATTAAGGTTCTGATAACTACACTAAAGAATCTGTCATTCATCGTATCACACATAGGATGACACATATGAAATACTGATGCTCAGATAACTATCAGAATCTCAATGATTTTTAAGGTACGTACATTCCTTCACTCAACACTAAATGACAATCAAGCTGCCAAGAAAAGTAGAAAAAAAAACAGATAAGATATCTATTTTTTTAAAACCAAAATTGATCATATCAATTCAGATACTGTTGCATCGATGCAGACATTTCAAGGTTAAATCAGATATATATATTCAGATATAATGTAGAGTATATCAGAAACTTTTTTAAGAATAAACTTGAGTATGAAATATACACATTCTTTTTCCTTCTCAACCTTTTTTCTGTTAATAATATGATTAGATATAAATTCCACTTACTTATTTTTCTAATGAGATTGTGAAAAAAAAAATACAAAAACTATACGTACATATAATACGTATAGTTATTAGATGTATGTATACAAAATCTCACAAGATAAATCGGGAACAAAATAGTACATAAAAACGTCGTATTGGCTGGTGTATTGCTAATATCGACAAAAAAGAAATAGAAAAAAAAAAAGAGAAAAAGTTGAGCAAAAACAAGGATATATACACACATACAACAATAGTTGTTAAGCGTTAGTGTACGATAAAGAATTCTTAGCCGTATTTAGTATTCTTTTGCTCGACACTGCTGCTGTGATGTGAGCCCATATCTCTATCTTCTCTCTCTCTCTAGAAAAAAGCTGAATGGCAGCAATTATTAGATAATTATCTCCATTTTTCTTTTATTCTATGTTCTGCGAAAAGAAGAATTTTCTAAATATTTTTTTTCTGTTTTTTAGTACATAAAATTGTTGCTGCTGCTGCGGATACACACACACACACACACACACACACTTAAAAAAGCGAATGATCAGTAACTATACATATATAAAAGCATTTAGTTAGACTTTCATTATCTTTCTTCTCTTTTCTACAAAACTTTCTCTAGTGATACTATACATCTGTATCTATCATGAATAAGAGAAACAAGAGCAAATTCTTCTCCTGTATGATTATCTTTTAGGATACAATCATCAAACAGAGAGTATTTGGAAAAATACAAAACCACGAAAAAAATGTTTGTTGACGCAATTGACTAAACCAATATTTATGAGGTATTGGGTTTTTTCTCTGTTAGTATATTTGCAAAACAGAGAAGCAGAAAAAAAAAAAAGAAGAAGAATACCGCCCAGATTTACAAATGTTTATCTTTTAATAATAGTAGCGAATATAATTTTAGTCCAATCCATAACTAATCAGATATATGGAGATATTTACAAAAAAAATTTCTTCTTCATCAAAAAATTATCAAAAATGATTGCATCTTCTTTTCTTAAACTATCATCAACTAAAACAATATGATGATGTAAATAGAACATAGTATAACAGTACAAGAAGAAGAAAAAAACCTGAAGAGAAGGAGATACATGTGTTACATAAACACTTATTCAATAATAATAATAAAAAATTCACCTCGATTAACCTGAGTACAGGACAGAGAAGACAAAAATACATTGGCATGAAATTCCACAAGATTATTAGAAAGATATTCAATGCGTTCAACATCATACAACATTATTATCAGATATCAAATAAAATTTTAAAGTAGAAAAAAACACATGTTAACTACTAAAATTAATCTCTCTCTGTTTGATCGTTTCTATAATAACTTTCTCGATTCTATATTTCTTTTTTCTTCTATTAAAAAAAAACAAGAATAGTTGCTGTTTTTAGAATACATTATGACAGACATTTGAGATAAACATAATTCTTACATCAAATTAAAATATAAACTAGTTGCATCACTAATAATTTTCCTTTCAAATTAATTTATATTAAGTAATTTTTCTAGTATTTTCATATATTCTTCACTCTTACATTTTCTATGTACACAAACTTTCGTCTAGATCTACTTTAAATAACGAATTACTACAAACATATATCACTAAAAAGTCATTTAAACATTGTCTATCAATTCTTATCATCTTTGTATCTTCAATATCTAAAATGTTTATTGTTATTTTAAAGAGAAAAAGAAAACTGAACTTTTATAATTTCTTCATTTATATGAAAAAAATAATTTTCATATTTATCTCAAAAAAACAAAAAATTGTGTAGCATACATTAGTAGAAAATTATCGATCAAGACATCAACAATCACTGATTATACTCGAGAAGGCCATAGTTAATTCAATAATATAACAAATCCCAACAGCACTAGATTATTATCGAACAGAAAATATTTTGTAGAAGAGAAAAAAGTGAAAATTTTGTCAACTATAACTAGCAAAAAAACGCACACACATACACATTTTATCTTTCTATTTTTTTTATATTTCTGAATGCTACATATTAATATAAAGTGTTATATTCCAAAGATAGGTTTTCATCAGACAGAAGAGACAGGTTTTTATTTTTCTTTAAATGTTATGGAATAATAATGATATCAATAAACCGTCACTTACTTAAAATATTAAAGAAAAAACACGATAGAGAAAGATGTACGTCAATAAAAATGTCTGACTCATACTGTGTCTATATCATCATTTTATTGTGATTTTATGCGGTTTTATACAGGTGGTTGAGTTCTAAAGTTAGATAAAAACGAAAAAATAATATTGAATAAAAATTAAAGTATTTTAAATTTTATTCTTATCATACTAAATTTTTTTATACAAATACTTGATTTTATGAATGAAATTGTAATAAATATCCGAAAAGAAACAAAACTGTCAATAACACATCACCTGTTTATTTAACTCATATACGTTTGAAATAGAGATCAATAAAAAAAAAATGACTAAATAGTAATTTGACTCGCTTATTTTCCATAATATAACTAATGAATAATTCAAAATGTATATGTTCTTACATTGAGTAGTTGTGAATAGTTGTAAAATAAAAATATAATAATGATGGTTTAGTCAATAAATTGATTATATTATTTTTCTTCTAAATCTTGTATATTAGTTTAAGATTTAATAAACTTTTAACTCTGATAATTCTATTTAAAACTGATAAATCCTATTAAAAATCAGCTTTTTTTTTGTTATTTTTTCACCTTTTTTCAAGGTAGACAAAGTTTTTTCTCCTGTTGATTCTTCATTTACTCTTAGTAAAACAAAAAATAAATTCTACATATATATTAAAGCAAATAATATAAAAAATTTCACCACAACGGCGCTAAAAATTCGAAAT